GGCTATTGAAGACGGGGGGGGCTGTTGTGGTCTATTGAAGATGGGGGGCTGTTGTGGTCTATTGAAGACGGGTTTGTGAGGGGCTGTTGTGGGCTATTGAAGACGGGGGGGGGCTGTTGTGGTCTATTGAAGATGGGGGGGCTGTTGTGGTCTATTGAAGACGGGTTTGTGAGGGGCTGTTGTGGGCTATTGAAGATGGGGGGGCTGTTGTGGTCTATTGAAGATGGGGGGCTGTTGTGGTCTATTGAAGACGGGGGGCTGTTGTGGTCTATTGAAGACGGGGTTTGTGAGGGGCTGTTGTGGTCTATTGAAGATGGGGGGGCTGTTGTGGTCTATTGAAGATGGGGGGCTGTTGTGGTCTATTGAAGATGGGGGGCTGTTGTGGTCTATTGAAGACGGGTTTGTGAGGGGCTGTTGTGGGCTATTGAAGATGGGGGGGCTGTTGTGGTCTATTGAAGATGGGGGGCTGTTGTGGTCTATTGAAGACGGGGGGCTGTTGTGGTCTATTGAAGACGGGGGGCTGTTGTGGTCTATTGAAGACGGGGTTTGTGAGGGGCTGTTGTGGTCTATTGAAGATGGGGGGGCTGTTGTGGTCTATTGAAGATGGGGGGCTGTTGTGGTCTATTGAAGACGGAGGGCTGCTGTGGTCTATTGAAGATGGATTTGTGTGGGGCTGTTGTGGGCTATTGAAGACTGAGGTCTGTTGTGGGCTATTGAAGACGGGGGGGGGGCTGTTGTGGTCTATTGAAGATGGGGTTTGTGAGGGGCTGTTGTGGTCTATTGAAGACGGGGGGCTGTTGTGGTCTATTGAAGATGGGGTTTGTGTGGGGGCTGTTGTGGTCTATTGAAGATGGGTTTGTGTGGGGCTGTTGTGGTCTATTGAAGACGGGGGGCTGTTGTGGTCTATTGAAGACGTGGGGCTGTTGTGGTCTATTGAAGACTGGGGGCTGTTGTAGTCTATTGAAGACGGGGGGGGCTGTTGTGGTCTATTGAAGACTGGGGGCTGTTGTGGTCTATTGAAGACTGGGGGCTGTTGTGGTCTATTGAAGACGGGGGGGCTGTTGTGGTCTATTGAAGACTTGGGGCTGTTGTGGTCTATTGAAGACGGGGGGCTGTTGTGGTCTATTGAAGACGGGGGGCTGTTGTAGTCTATTGAAGACGGGGGGCTGTTGTGGTCTATTGAAGACGGGGTTTGTGAGGGGCTGTTGTGGTCTATTGAAGATGGGGGGGCTGTTGTGGTCTATTGAAGATGGGGGGGCTGTTGTGGTCTATTGAAGACGGAGGGCTGCTGTGGTCTATTGAAGATGGATTTGTGTGGGGCTGTTGTGGGCTATTGAAGACTGAGGTCTGTTGTGGGCTATTGAAGACGGGGGGGGGGGCTGTTGTGGTCTATTGAAGATGGGGTTTGTGAGGGGCTGTTGTGGTCTATTGAAGACGGGGGGCTGTTGTGGTCTATTGAAGATGGGGTTTGTGAGGGGGCTGTTGTGGTCTATTGAAGATGGGTTTGTGTGGGGCTGTTGTGGTCTATTGAAGACGGGGGGCTGTTGTGGTCTATTGAAGACGTGGGGCTGTTGTGGTCTATTGAAGACTGGGGGCTGTTGTAGTCTATTGAAGACGGGGGGGGCTGTTGTGGTCTATTGAAGACTGGGGGCTGTTGTGGTCTATTGAAGACTGGGGGCTGTTGTGGTCTATTGAAGACGGGGGGGCTGTTGTGGTCTATTGAAGACTGGGGGCTGTTGTGGTCTATTGAAGACGGGGGGCTGTTGTGGTCTATTGAAGACGGGGGGCTGTTGTAGTCTATTGAAGACGGGGGGCTGTTGTGGGCTATTGCAGACGAGGGGCTGTTGTGGGCTATTGAAGACTGGGTTTGTGTGGGGCTGTTGTGGTCTATTGAAGATGGGTTTGTGAGGGGCTGTTGTGGGCTATTGAAGACTGGGTTAGTGAGGGCTGTTGTGGTCTATTGAAGACGGGTGTGTGTGGGGCTGTTGTGGTCTGTTGAAGACGGGGGGGCTGTTGTGGTCTATTGAAGACGGGAGGGCTGTTGTAGTCTATTGAAGATGGGATTGTGAGGGCTGTTGTGGTCTATTGAAGACGGGGGGCTGTTGTGGTCTATTGAAGATGGGTTTGTGAGGGCTGTTGTGGTCTATTGAAGACTGGTTTGTGAGGGCTGTTGTGGTCTATTGAAGACTGGTTTGTGAGGGCTGTTGTGGGCTATTGAAGACTAGGTTTGTGTGGGGCTGTTGTGGTCTATTGAAGATGGGTTTGTGAGGGCTGTTGTGGGCTATTGAAGACGGGTTTGTGAGGGCTGTTGTGGTCTATTGAAGACTGGGGTTTGTGAGGGCTGTTGTGGTCAATTGAAGACTGGGGTTTGTGAGGGGCTGTTGTGGTCAATTGAAGACTGGTTTGTGAGGGCTGTTGTGGTCTATTGAAGACGGGTTTGTGTGGGGCTGTTGTGGTCTATTGAAGACTGGTTTGTGTGGGGCTGTTATGGTGTATTGAAGACTGGGGTTTGTGAGGGCTGTTGTGGTCAATTGAAGACTGGGGTTTGTGAGGGGCTGTTGTGGTCAATTGAAGACTGGTTTGTGAGGGCTGTTGTGGTCTATTGAAGACGGGTTTGTGTGGGGCTGTTGTGGTCTATTGAAAACTGGTTTGTGAGGGCTGTTGTGGTCTATTGAAGTTCCAAGATTGACAGCGTCCTTCACAATCTTGCACCAGGGTCCCCCCTGAATTTCTGGGGTCTGTTTTCTTTTCATGAAACAGAAAACGCAGACAGTGTTATGAGAGAATATTCAAAACGTAATAAATTAAGTCTCGCGACTCTAAAATGCCGGAACCCTCACATAATATGAGTCTATGACCTTCCTGGGCTCAAATGAGGCGGTGTTGTAAATTATTTACATTTACATATGCGTTTGCTTGCTCTGGCACTTGGGCTGGACGGTAGAGCGACGGTCTCGCTTGATGCAAGTCGGCGTTCAATCCCCGACGGTCACACAAATCGTTATCCTAATCCCCGCCAAGAGCTATAGAGTCGTAATCTATGGAACTCACTCCCTAACGTATTTAGAAGCTGTCCAATCTTATGCCTTATTGAAAAGTAAAACCTTTATATACCTGATTTCATCCTCATAGTTCCCTATCTTGTGCTTCACACCTCACACTGTATTACCGCGTAACGTGGTGGAGGTGGGGTCCCTCGATTGTTTCAAGCGCGGGTTGGACATGTATATGAGTGGGATTGGGTGGTTATAGATAGGAGCTGCCTCGTATGGGCCAATAGGCCTTCTGCAGTTGCCTTTGTTCTTATGTTCTTATGTTCTTCTTATGTTGACCAGACCACACACTTGAAGGTGAAGGGACGACGACGACGTTTCGGTCCGTCCTGGACCATTCGCAATCGACTTGAGAATGGTCCAGGACGGACCGAAACGTCGTCGTCGTCCCTTCACCTTCTAGTGTGTGTGGTCTGGTCAACATACTTCAGCCACGTTATAAACCAATAAAAATGAATGTTTAATCAGGTAAAGTACATACATACAAGAGGTTATACAAAAATTGATAGATTTATAGATAGAACTAGTACATAGCTAGTACAATGCCTAGTAGCTAGTACCTAGTACATAGAGCTAGTACATAGCTAGTACAATGCCTAGTACCTAGTACATAGAGCTAGTACATAGCTAGTACAATGCCTAAATCCACTTATTACCTAAGCCACGTTATTGTGACTCCTCGCCTGCTCACGCTGAATCTTGTGCTACTCAATCCCGCAATATATGTACCTAAGCCGTATATAACTTCACTACACACACGCTGAGATCACACTAACGTGATGCATCAAATGAAGAAATCCACAAAGTAAAAGCCCGGTTTGTGCCTCGGAGAGGCTACGGGATCCAGTAAGTTCAGTAGAACTTCAGTTTCAACCCTTTTTACCCTGTCGTAGCTCAGTCAAATTAAGGCAGTGTCTGGGATGCTCCCGGACGCAGGTTCGAATCCTCGTCACGGCGCTTGTGGATTTGTTTATAACTTCACTGCTATCATCTTATATCATGGTTGTTATATTGAACCCCAATTTGACTCCAATATACCTAGTAATTATCCTCAAATTAGGCTACAATGTACCTGTTGATAATCCCTCTAATTTTACTATAATGTACCTACTAATTTTCTTCAAATTTCTTACAATGTACCCTGTTAACTTTTTTTTTCAGTTTTGCAACAAGTTACCTACTTAAAATTATCTGTTAGATTAAGGACCTGCCCGAAACGCTTTGCGAGTTATAGTGGCTTTAAAAGAATGTAAAAATATCAATGCTCTGAGTTCTCTCATAAACACAATGTACCTTCTTGTATATAAATAAATAGGTTTTATTTATATAAAAAAAAAGGTTTACAAATAAATAAATAATGGCTTAGCGCTTTCCCGCCCAAAAAAAAAAAATGGCTTGGCGCTTTCCCCTGTTAATTCCTTTATTCCTTCACTCTTGACACTTATCTGTTTTGCATGTTCACTTAGTCTCTCTCATATTCACATATTTACTCATAATTATTCATGTTCACTCATTCACTCATATTCATATTAACTGATTATTATATTAAGTAATTCACTATCATATTCCCTCTCATACCTCCCGGTAGAATAGTCGGGTTCGTTCTGGACTCATTATCGGGGAATTCCGGGTTCGAATCCCGTACGGAACAGAAATAGGTGGCCGCGTTTTCTGTCACCTGACACCCATGTTCACCTAGTAGTTAATAGGTACGCAGGAGTTAGTCTGCTGGTTATAGGGGCTGCATCCTGTGGGGGGGGGTAGGTAGTTCTACCTTTGTGGGGGGGGGGGGTGGTAGATAAAAGCCTAACATGTATAATATATATATATATATATATATATATATATATATATATATATATATATATATATATATATAATATATATATATATATACCTCCCTCCCTGCTACAGGTACAGCAGCTAACACCTCTCTCCCTTCCACAGGTACAACGGGATGAAGAGCACCACTAACGTCTTTCTCGCTTCCCTGGCCTCCGCCGACCTCCTCCTCATACTGGTCTGCGTCCCCGTCAAGGTGAGCCAGCTCTTGTGTATCTCCCTCTGCTGGGCATCCCCATCAAGGTGAGCCAGCTCTTGTGTATCTCCCTCTGCTGGGCGTCCCCATCAAGGTGAGCCAGCTCTTGTGTATCTCCCTCTGCTGGGCATCCCCATCAAGGTGAGCCAGCTCTTGTGTATCTCCCTCTGCTGGGCATCCCCATCAAGGTGAGCCAGCTCTTGTGTATCTCCCTCTGCTGGGCATCCCCATCAAGGTGAGCCAGCTCTTGTGTATCTCCCTCTGCTGGGCATCCCCGTCAAGGTGAGCCAGCTCTTGTGTATCTCCCTCTGCTGGGCATCCCCATCAAGGTGAGCCAGCTCTTGTGTATCTCCCTCTGCTGGGCATCCCCATCAAGGTGAGCCAGCTCTTGTGTATCTCCCTCTGCTGGGCATCCCCGTCAAGGTGAGCCAGCTCTTGTGTATCTCCCTCTGCTGGGCATCCCCATCAACGTGAGCCAGCTTTTGTGTATCTCCCTCTGCTGGGCATCCCCGTCAAGGTGAGCCAGCTCTTGTGTATCTCCCTCTGCTGGGCATCCCCGTCAAGGTGAGCCAGCTCTTGTGTCTTAGCACATGCTAAGGGAGATGGACAAAGCATCATCGTACAGTGCTAGGAACAGCAGAACGAGGGGTGGGGGGGGGCGGGGGGTTATAAATAAAAAATAGATACAAATGACTCAAAGTGACATAAATAAATGTGTTAGACATACATTATACAGTAGAGAGGCGGGACCAGAGAGCCGGATCTCAACCATCCCCCGCCAGCACAACTACGTGAGGAACACATTGTGGCAGTATACACATGTACATACATATATATACATATTACTGAGAAACGTGCAGAAAACCATATGTAGTGTGTGTGTGTGTGTGTGTGTGTGTGTGTGTGTGTGTGTGTGTGTGTGTGTGTGTGTGTGTGTGTGTGTGTGTGTTGTGTGTGTGTGTGTGTGTGTGTGGTGTGTTGTGTATACAGGTGTATGATGGGGGGGGGGGGAGGTCACAGGCCGCTGCTGTTGGTGTATACAGGTTAATGGTGGCTTGTGTCGAGGTGGGCTGCGTCGAAGGGACACACTCTCCCCTTGTTTTATCCCCTCTTGTACTGTGTTATATTAATATTCAACGGTGTGTGATTTATGTCTCCCTACATCTCTCCCTTCTCTCTCTCTCTCTCTCTCTCTCTCTCTCTCTCTCTCTCTCTCTCTCTCTCTCTCTCTCTCTCTCTCTCTCTCTCTCTCTCTCTCTCTCTATCTATCTATCTATCTCTCTCTCTGGTTACTGTTTACCCCAGACCACAACTGCTACTTACTCCAGACCACACCTGCTACTTACTCCAGGCCACACCTGCTACTTACTCCAGGCCACACCTGCTACTTACCCCAGACCACAACTGCTACTTACCCCAGACCACAACTGCTAGGTGCCTCATGTTCAGCGCCATCTATGTATGTTATCATTAGTTTTTCGCAGGTGTGCGTGCGTGTGTGTGTGTGTGCGTGCGTGCGTCCAGTGAGAGTACAGCGTTATTATATATATCCTTCCCCCTCTAGCCTCGTCTAGCTCCTGGGCCCCGGTTTCTGTATTTTAACCACGTTAACGACCTCATTTTCCCTGGCTCGTTTGTAAGGAAAGCGGCTGCCTTAACTTTAGGAAAATGTCTAATTTGGGTCAAAGAAGCGTAGTTAAGAAGTCTCTGTCGTCTAAGACGAGGGTGTTGTAATGGGCGTATATGTGCGTGTTTTCCAACCTGCCAAGGGTTCGAATCTCCTTGAGTCTGTCGTTGGCGATGCGAGTGCTAATCACTATGCCACTCGGTCTCTATTACATAGGCTCAAGACAGAGCTAAACCCTTGCGATGAATATATTATAATTCCACGATCAAAAGACGCCTTGCAGAGCATTCAACTGCTTTTGCGAAGTCAAGAAAATATAAGTTAAATGCGCAAGGCTTCAGTAGATAGTCGGCAGCAATTAGAACGAAGACGCCAGCCCTTTGTTACAAAGATAAAAATTTATTTTTTCCCTTCCGGTCAACTCTTGAGGCGGCGGCGGCACGGTGGTGAAAAATGGCGCCAAGTGAGAATGGCATGAATTATGGCGGGATAAAGTTGTTGACATTTTCGAACGAACTATGGCGGGAAAAAGTTGTTTACGTTTTCAAACGAACTATGGCGGGAAAAAGTTGTTTACATTTTCAAACAAACTATGGCGGGAAAAAGTTGTTTACATTTTCAAACGAACTATGGCGGGAAAAAGTTGTTTACATTTTCAAACGAATTATGGCGGGAAAAAGTTGTTGACATTTTCAAACGAACTATGGCGGGAAAGTTGTTTACATTTTCAAACGAACTAAGGCGGGAAAAAGTTGTTTACATTTTCAAACGAACTATGGCGGGAAAAAAGTTGTTTACATTTTCAAACGAACTATGGCGGGAAAAAGTTGTTTACATTTTCAAACGAACTATGGCGGGAAAAAGTTGTTTACATTTTCAATGAACTATGGCGGGAAAGTTGTTGACATTTTCAAACGAACTATGGCGGGAAAGTTGTTTACATTTTCAAACGAACTATGGCGGGAAATAGTTGTTTACATTTTCAAACGAACTATGGCGGGAAAAAGTTGTTTACATTTTCAAACGAACTATGGCGGGAAAAAGTTGTTTACATTTTCAAACGAACTTTGGCGGGAAAGTTGTTTACATTTTCAAACGAACTATGGCGGGAAAAAGTTGTTTACATTTTCAAACGAACTATGGCGGGAAAGTTGTTTACAGTTTCAAACTAACTATGGCGGGAAAAAGTTGTTTACATTTTCAAACGAACTATGGCGGGAAAAAGTTGTTTACATTTTCAAACGAACTATGGCGGGAAATAGTTGTTTACATTTTCAAACGAACTATGGCGGGAAAGTTGTTTACATTTTCAAACGAACTATGGCGGGAAAAAGTTGTTTACATTTTCAAACGAACTATGGCGGGAAAAAGTTGTTTACATTTTCAAACGAACTATGGCGGGAAAAAGTTGTTTACATTTTCAAACGAAGTATGGCGGGAAACTTGTATATATATTTTCAAACGTCACCGACACCTGTGCTCAAATCTAAACTCATATATATATACGTTATATCTGGCTTGTTTATAGACCTGACTCGCCTGCTTTGTTTATAGACCTTACAACAGCTGACCAATTTATAGACCCGACTAACTGGCTTCCGCGTTACCCGTCTCTTACTTACATATACCTTACATTTAAATACATTTTTTAAACAGACAAATGCCAAATAAAAATTACCACAGTGCTCAGCGGCGCACTAAATTGCTAAAGGAAAAATCATGCTTGATCGACATATTTCCCCGAGGGGAAAAGAAATTAGGAAACTTAATGTCTTCCTAATTACATAAAGAAAACGTGATCTCGGTTCCTTAGTTCTATCTTGGAAACGGAGGCTTCGCTACCAATCATTTTTTTTGAGTAGCTGATGGCTTTGCGAATTTGGCTTGCTAATTAGCATCTGATTTTTCCGAACGTTGAGCTTAATATGCATTAGGAATTGTTACGATGAGTTGTTCCTTTGTGATGTTGTAAGAGAGAGAGAGAGACTATGTGTTTGAATATGGCAGGGGGGAATATATAATGTAATTATGGGAAAGGGATAATAATATAACTGCGGAGCATTTGGAAGGGATATGAGGACGAGGAATAGGGATATATATAAGGAAAATGAGCTGGGAGATGAGGACAAGGAGGCGGGATATAAGGACAGTGAACGGGGATATGAGGACAAGCTCCTTGTTCTCATATCCCAGCTCCTTGTCCTCATATTCTAGCTCCTTGTCCTCATATCCCACCTCCTTGTCCTCATATCCCACCTCCTTGTTCTCATATCCCAGCTCCTTTTCCTCATATCCCACCTCCTTATCATCATATCCCATGTGTCGTGTTGTTCACCAAGACCTAGGTTATTCTTTCAAACTCTCTACTCACGTTGCTCCATTCAGAGCAGTGGGTAAGCGCCCGACGAATATAAGCATTGAGAACACTGGCTTTGTATCTTTGGGGGCACTCACTTCTACCGTTTGGGGAGTCGGTCGGCCGAGCGGACAGCACGCTGGACTTGTGATCCTGTGGTCCTGGGTTCGATCCCAGGCGCCGGCGAGAAACAATGGGTAGAGTTTCTTTCACCCTATGCCCCTGTTACCTAGCAGTAAAATAGGTACCTGGGTGTTGGTCAGCTGTCACGGGCTGCTTCCTGGGGGGTGGAGGCCTGGTCGAGGACCGGGCCGCGGGGACACTAAAGCCCCGAAATCATCTCAAGATAACCTCAAGATAGGCGTAATCCTGTGTTGGTAGGCTTAGTATATACGCTTTAGATAGACTCCTGTTTTTGTTATTAGTACATTCAGGAATGGTAGACTGTTATTTTCACTATTTTCGTGGGTATATTGGAATGAATGAGGTGGTACCATCTTTAGTTGGAGTAGGGGGACCCATAGCCTCGGAGAAGAGGATAGAAAATCATTAGAGGGGGATTTGCTGGTCCCCTGCCAGTGATTATGTACTTTTATTATGACACACACACACACACACACACACATACACAGTTTCAAGTGTAGATATGATAGAGCCCAGTAGGCTCAGGAACCTGTACACCAGTTGATTGACGGTTGAGAGGCGGGACCAAAGAGCCAGAGCTCAACCCCCGCAAACACAACTAGGTGAGTACACACACACACACACTCAAACACACGTGTATATACATAAATATATAACTACAATTCTCTAAGGTATGATAGCAAAAAAAAAATAAAAATATGAGAATAATCTATCGCGTCGATAGGTAAAGGCTTTTTAAAAAAGAAAACGGCGCTGGAGCCGCAGGAAAACTGAAGTAATTGGAAAGAGGATATAGGAATGCTGGCCAGCCCTCCTGTGCAATATTCTCAGCACCCACACACACCTCCTCCTCCTCCTCCTCCTCTCCCTGTC